CCTGGAGCATTGAAATAAATGAGGCTCCGGCGAGCAGAGCTGCAACTTTTGTCAACACTACACTAAATGTTATGAGCTGTAGGTGTGTTGTGTAGCAAGAATCCACTAGCCAAACACATTAAAAAACTTTTGAACTGAAAACACTGGCACATGTTAAACAAAGGAAAGCTGAAAAACAGATAGTAATCCACAGTGGGATTACAGCGTCACATCGGGAGAATAAGGTTTTGTTATGTTTATTTTCTGTTTTTTTTCTTTTTTTTTTATTTATTTTTTTTTTTATAAAAAATTTAGAAGTTAGTCTTGCAGTGAACAACCAGCACCATAAAGTTCAAGGAGCAACTCACACAAGTCAATAAAAGAAAAAAAAAAAAAAAAAAAAACATGCTGAGAAGCTTAAAAGAAGTTTGACTACAAACGTGGGCTGCTCTATTTGGGGGTAGTTATAAACTTGGATCTTACCCTTCGTATTTGCAACTACTTGCTGTTTTCTACATCATAAAATTCCCCTCAAGAAATAAAATGAGACCTGATTAAAGTGTGGAAAAATCAGGTGCACGGATACTTTAACAAGGCACTGTATTGTTAACTATTCAGCATGACTATGTGTGCAGGTCTATTGCGCTGATCATTAATTAATAGTTTCTATGGAGAGCGGATGATTTGAATTAATTAAATGTCAAAATGAACTTTTGCAGACAAAAAAAAAAAAGAGGCAGTAAAAAGTGAATTTTACTCCCGTCTTCTTAACCTTGCCTGGGCTCATCTGGCTGCAGCCCTGACATCAGCCAACCCGCTAATTAGTTCCCACTGTGATGAAGCAGGGCGCCAAGCGTCCCCAGCTGTCATTACTAACAATAATAAATGAAAACATTGTGGTCTGCTCTGGGTATATGACTGAGCTTTATAGTAATTTCCACTAACAAGTTCAGTGACAACCGCTAAACACGACGTCTGAACAGAGAAGACGGCTACGTTTCGATCCTGCTGTTTTTCTGTTCAATCGGGATTGTATTATCAAACAGTGCATCACCTAAAACCCCTTGAAAAAACAAGTATGCAAACTCTCAAAAACAAACAAACAAAAGTTCCTCAAAGGAATAATACAAAGAAAAGGTATAAAAAGAATAAAAGTTTTCTGTTTTTTTTTTTTTTTTGTCTCATTACAGTTGATTGGAGACAATTTGACACTAAAGTGATTACGAATCCAGGCTGGGAAATAGAAAGTGTGAGCATCAGTGGCATGCAGATTCAAGAAGGCAGTGAAAAGTGATATTCTGTTGAGATGCAAATTCTCTGAGGGGTTTGTTCCAGAGGCATGCACAATGAAATTGGCCTTTAAATGCGTTGGCATACTAATATCTTAAGATGCCACGATCCTTAGCCCATTCAGAATAACTGTGGCATTGTAATTGACTTGCAGTTCATACTAACAGTGTGTAACACCGCATCCGAAAGACTTTGCTCAACAGCGCATGTGGGACAGTGGATACAACATACGGACGTAACACATCCAGCTTCAGCGGCAACACGTTATGCTGAGTGTTATTATTTTTTTAATTTTGTATCCCTATTAATTTCATTCCTTTTTTTATTTTTTTATTTTTCTTTTGCAATTTTCCATAAGCTGAGGCTGTGAATGACATTTTAGAAAAGGTCCGACTTTACGGGGGGAAATGACCCATATAATTATGACAGATTTTGTTTTCCTGAGGAAAATTCACGACGAGGAATTTATTAAAACCAGAAAATCTGGAGAGGACACTGGAGAAGATTTATGTTTTTCTATTTTTTTTTTTTTTTTGATCAAATGTGTTACTTTTGTACTGCTTATGTCTACTTAACATGCTTTGCACATTTTTATTCAAAAATGTTTTGTTTTTTTTACGATTATTTGACTTTTCAGGAGCCTGATTTTGTGTTGGTGCAACCCTGGCCACTTGGTTCTGTGAGCCCGTGTGTGTGATGCATGTGGGCAGAGCAACCCGACTGTCTGCAACTGCCTTCATCTTCTTCATCCCCTGTTTGCTGCTCTTATGGAGATAAATCACAAGTCCAAAACAAACTGAGGTAAATCATGCAGTGAAACGTATAACTTGCGAGCTGAAAAAAAAAAAAAAAGTTTGTAAAGCTCTTTATCTGGGTAGAAACCAACCTATATGCACTAAGATTATATTGATCCCCTTGTTAAAGCCCTTAAAGCCAATGCAGGAGAGGTTATTCAGTGAAGCAAAAACCTGGAACTTTGCTCACACTGACAGAGGACTGACTGCCTGTGTGTTTGCCCATGCAGGGTAGGTCTCAAGCAGCTTATGACCAGCAAATTAAAGGTCTGCAGAGGAAGAGAAGCTTCGAACTTTAGTGTTAAAATAAGCATACTAAAGATTTAAAATGTCTTTTAAAGTTTGAAGAAGCTAAGAGATGCTATGGTGTTCGAGTCACCATCTGAAAAGATCAGAAAAGGAAGAAAACATCCATAACTTAAATTTCATCCTTTTATCTTACCAACTGAAACTTCAACTAAGTTACAAAAATTGCACTTTTTTTATTTATTTTTTTTACATTTTCAGTACACTACGTCATACAAAACAACTTCTACATTTTGAAATGGTTCTAGTCAAGTTTCTAATTGCTGTGCGGGCCTTATAATGTACAGGAAAGTGGGAGACGGCGAACTCTTTCGTAGTTTGAGCGAGCTACTTACTGTATACTATAATGCTGAGCTTTAAATGCAGGTTTGAATCAATCAAGTGCTGTACAGCACGGGATCTGTAGCAGGGCTCAGACTGCAGATACATACTTGCATTAGTGAGTCAGCTCTACGATTGGCATTCAGTTGAACTCCCTGCAGGATTTCAAGCAATAAATATGGAAATCTGAGTATGAGAGCCAAGCTCTTGTCTAGCTGCTTTTTGCCTATTGCACAGTTTAGTCAAGTATCACTTTAGGATAAACAGACTAACAGCAAACAGGGAAATTGGGGGAGTTTCACAAGCGGCATCCATTGATGACGACTTGGAAAAACACGTCGGTCGCAAACATCCAAGCGTTACCGATTTTTCACAACCTTTTGTTCCCTGAGCTACTTTGTTTTCCAGAAGCCACTCACGAGAGGTATGATGATTGGAACAGCACAGTCATCTGTGTACAATAGATTTTCCATGTCAGATTTAGCTTTCTGTTGGACTTGCGCGAGGAAAAGATCAGCCTAGCCTCAGGCACTTGGCAAAAATATCCGTAAATCCTTCTCCCACCCTGGGCAGCGACACATGCTGTGACTAACCCTTTCGCCTGATAATGCCTTTAAGAATACCATACAGAAAAGCGCGTGAGCTAATAAATGACGTGTGGCGGTAAACATTAAAACCAGCAAAAACTGTGCCTGATGTAAACATTGGTATTAGGAGCATGCTTCAGCAGCTTGATTAAAACTCTTTATTTGCTCGACTATTGGCATCCCAGTGAGATCTGCTGATTTTTGAGACTACTTTGTAATCAGCCTCTACCTGAGATCCAATCACGACAAGTGGAGAAGGTCTCAAAATACCATAAATGTGTTCGGAAACCCCAAAAAAAAAAAAAAAAAAAAAAAAAGCAGTCAGACTCTGGCTGGAAATGGATGTTTATGTTGAGAAATGATGAAACTGAAGAAACTGTATACACAGAGGGATGAAGATGAGATCTGTACATAAACTTTGAGACCAGTTATGATGAAGTGTAGCGCTACTGTAAAAGTCTGCAAAATTATTATTATTATTAGTATTATTATTATCATTAACTTTGCATATATAAACTCCCCCTGTAGCTTCTAATGAGGAAATCACAATTTCTCATTACTTCCACTAATATTTAATCCTTGCTTGAACGACGCAGGATATTCAATGTTTGAATATCCTGGGGTGTTCAGATGTTGGGGGGAAAAAAAAAAAAAAAGAAGAGATTCTGTCTGTCTGCGTCGTTCTGGCTGTCTGACATCCCCTGGAGTTAAAATACAAAGACAATAAACTAAAAGCCCTATTAGTGAAATACAAGGTTATCATACACTCAGTATTGGATGTAATGTTGCATTAATTTATGTCATGCAACATCTGCCCTGTACTCACTCAAAATTTTTAATCTTCAAACCAGAGGGTGAATAACACAAAAGGTGCTTTGAAAGTTAATCAAGCGATGACAGACATACAAGTCTTTGGAGTAATCCTGCAATTACAAGAGAGGAAGGAGGGAGGGAGAAACCTGCTAATCACTCAAAATGAAGCAGGAATTATTTCGTGGCACCCATATGAGGACAGTGTAATTCTTTGCACTGGACATCTGTTGCCGACAGAACTGACAGAAGCACTCGGCTCATCCGAGCGTAAACAAATGAGGGAAAACAGAGGATCTTAATTAATCTGTAGGAGGTTGAAGTAAAATAAGTGATGTCAGCTTGAAAAAATAAAAAATGAAAGCATGAGTCATTTGTTTTAATATGACAGATTTTTCCCCCTGTTTATTTGTATCTGTATTTTATTAATAATATAGGAAATGGTCAAATAAAATTCTGCATATTTCGATATGTACTAACGCCATTGAGCATGCTATTGAGTAATATTGATTGTTAATTTGCGATGTTGGCTGCAAAATTGGTGTGCATGGGAAGTAATTTTCCAACATAAAAGCTGCCATTTTCAGCAAAATATTTGGCATTACAGTATGAGAAATACTTAAGATTAATGATCAAAAACACTGGCCAAGAGACACAAAAATCTTGCTAGATATGAAGGTATTTCTTTTACTGTGGTTAGTTACAATGGCGTAGAACAGCATTTTTCAAAGTGACCTCCTGGTGGACCACTAAGGGGCGCCGAGGGGTCCTCAAAGTTGAAGGGAAGATGAACTCGGGACTTCTGTACGTTTAAAAAAATATTAATTGCATTACAAATCTTAATGCATTTAAATCTTAGTAATTAATTAACCGAAGTTAATATGTTAGAATCTCTGCCGTATAAATACATGTTTCCGGCACTGATAGAGTCGCATGTGAGCATCGAGTACCAAGACACATTTTCCCCCGAGGTTAGAGCAGGACTCAAAATATTCCTCCATGTTCTTGAACAAAACATTGGGGGCACGAATTCTTGTTTCCAGTAATGTGCCCCACAGTGGGGTTATTTGCACTGCGCATGGCTTATTTTGGTGCATGAGTCTAATCAGGTAATTTCAGGCTCATCTTTGATCAAAGCCCTGATATTTTTTCTATGGACTGTGGCCACCTGAAAAAGCACTGCACCGTGCATCCATTTTGCATGCAGACTTTAGGCTGAACAATAGACAGTATCTCAGTAGAAGCCTCAAAGATTTATGACAGGGTCATGATCACTTGTTTCACCATTAGGAGTGTTTATAACAGTGCAAATGCATCTCCTTTTAGTGCTTCCATCTGCACTCGATCCTCTCCACATCTCACCACCAATTCAATATCATGCTATATTTAAAAAGAAAAATCAACATTTAAATTCACCTGACTGCACTAAATCCTTTTTTTTACCCGATCCATTAACTTCTTGAAGCAAGGATTTTCACCTTACTCAGGTTTGGGCCACTTGTGAAAATCATTTCATAATGGACATTGATTGTAATAGCTTTATTAGATTTCTTAAATTGGAGCTTCCAGGGGAAAAGTGAAATTCATCAGATGTGCAAATCCACTTTAAAAACACAAAGAATTGTTTCACAATATCTCCGCATGTGAAAATTGAGTCATTTACCACTCGGGCCAATGTGTCATTATTAACAGTTCATATAAATGTCAGGAAGGTGGAGAGAGGGCCCCGCCGTGGACATGCACAGAAAAGCGACGATGAAGATAAATGGTATAAAATATTTTTTTTTCATTACAGCCACAGGCATAACAAGATCCAGGCACAGGCAGTGTGTACAGTGATAACCTTTATTGCTAGGTTTGCATATAGTGCCTACAGGCCTACAAATAATAGTAATAATAATAATAATAATAATAATAAAATAACACAAGCGTGACCTCAAATCATCAGATATCTAGAACTTTGTATCGAAAGATGTAAACAGAAATATAAATCAACACAATAGGTCATTTGTCATCGATCTAAATATTTATTTTAATATTACAAAATTAGCCTAACAAGATCTTTTAACCTGGGATTTGAATAAGCGAATGCCTGCTGGCTACAAATATGCCATTCAGCCAAGACTCTCGCGTGGGGCAAAGAGTTCTGGGTGTTGTCGAGCGACGCCTTAGCATCCCTTTGCTTTCTGCGATAACTCATCATCAAGAACAACGTGATGAACGTCAGACGAACAGACCCACTCCCACGACAAAGCGAGCTTCTGGCAAATGACAGAGAGCTGACCACAGAGCGCCTCTTTACTTTTTCGCCGTTTCCTTGTTAGGAGATTGATCCATGGCTGACAGTCGCAGCAGAGCACAGTGCAAGTTTATCATGACAAAACGAGTTTAATAAGCCAGCGGATTTGTTATGCCCCCATCGTTTAATGAGATGCGGAGAAACAAAAGAATTAGGAAATAAAACTGTGCAGACGGAAAACCAGCAAGAACGTTTTAGCCACATAAGAAGACGCTCAAGTTGGTTAAAAGTGTGGCAATTAGACTAATTATGTTTTTATGTAGGGTGGTGCAATTAGGCTGTGGGCGAGCTTCAATCTGCCTACCAAATTAGTGTTCTTCTCTGCTTTGCCGCTCAAATTATCCACATTATTGTTAAGATATCAGGCTATTTTAAGACCAGTGGTGCGATTTAAACGCTAGCCACAATCTCTCTCTCTCTCTTTCTCTCTCACACTGATCAGGAAAGAAACAAAATGGATGCAGTACTAATTGTTTTTCAGGAATTTACGTTCACAGCTTTGTCGTCTTAAAAAAAAAAACCCTAAGCTGTTAAAATGTGGTTAATGTCTTTGTCTTGGTGAACACGTTTTTATGGAAGAACATGACTAGAGAGACAACGGCTCTGCACGAGAATAGTTAACAAGTCACTTTCTTCGACTCTGTGTCAAGTTTCAGACACATGAACATTTCACAATTGTCTACGAAATGTGGCCCAACAAATTCAGCTCTATAACTGAAAATAAAAGTCAATTAAAATCATATCAAAGAGCAACCGTGAGCCAGCTCGTTTTATTTTTACCCCCACATCCCCGTCTGGGCAAGACGAAGAAGCAATTCGTACATTGAGTCTTGGCACAACAATAACAATTTTCACCAAAGCACTGCATCACCGTTAAGTTAAACGTTCTAAATATCACAAATGTTCATTACAATGATCTCTGCTGCGATCAAATCCACCCTGTCCATCTGTAATTAACTATACCAAAAGAAGAGAATAAATTTCATTCAGATTCCAGCTTTGATAATGTTTGTTTTTTTTCTTTCCGGTGTCAGTGGTGCGGTCACTTTCAGAAGACTCAATCGTCGCTGCGTAAGCAAGAAAACTTCGCCGCTAACACCGAGGACTTCTTTCTTCCAGTTTAAATGACTCTTTATTGATATACAGCCCTGTTCATCAGGATGGCACTTGTCCTTTTCACTATTCTGCTGACTCTTCCGTCCTGCTGACCTGTCGTATTTATTTGTCTTTTCCTTTTTGTATCCCCGTCTTGACTGTACCGCACTTGACAGGTTTGAGCTTTGCTGTCCAATATTTTGTTCTTTCATAGCCATCCCCCTTTTATTCTTTTCAGTCTGTTGCCTTTGGTTACCTTCCCAGTCTAGAACCAATCCTCATAACTTTCAAATTGATATTAACACTGCTGAGATGACATACACAATATCCTTTAAGAGGCAATTTGTGACATTTTTTTTGTGATTGTGATCCTCTTACTGACTCCTTTTACATAAGATGACTCCCAGTTTTGAAGTACCTCCTCCAGTTGCCTCTGGGTAAGCATTCTTCTGTTTGTCGCTGGGTTGATATCCCTTGAGAGAGTAGAAAAAAAAAATCCTTGCCCTTGTGATGACTGGACTTGTAAAGCTTAGTACGCACTTCATGTCGCAGTGGTGCAGCTCAATAAGAGTAAGACCACCACAGATACCCCTTTCACTGCTACCATTTTATGTTATTCATGTGTGTTTTTTTTTCCCCCTCCCCAGCGTCTTGTCTAACAACAGCATGGCCGACATCAGTTTTTTCTGCCTCTTTTATATGTATGATTGCCGTTTGATTTGAATGTCAAAAGAAAAAGAGCCACTGTGGCGTCCACCCCTTGCTGTTCTATAATTACAGGATCTCTCCACAGTCGTGGCATAACCTGTTGTATGGATGTTTTTTTTTTTTGTTCTAGAACACTAAATTGGCTTTAAGTGATTGGAACTAAGAATAAAATATTTGAAAAAGCTTGCTGTAAATACTGAATCTTTCTCTGCTTGACTCCATTTACAAGAGGCCTGGTGACATGTATATTTTAATGGTTTTATTAGCTTAAAAAGGTGCTTTGTTTGCATTCAGGCTGTTCAAAACTGCACTTAAGGATCAGCATTTTGTGTAAAATAGCATCCTGATAAATAGACTGAAGCTTAATAGACTAAGTACATGAAAAAAAAGGTTGTTTGTGTTATTTCAGCATTTTAATAAGACAGTCTAAAACACATGCCCGAGCTAATTTTTGTGCATCAGATAGATTAAAGCACATAAATAATTACAATAAATTAAAGAGGCAGTATTTTTCCAGGTACATTGTGCCATTTTTATAGCACAATCAAGTAACTCTGTTGCCGTCAGATGTTATACAAATGCAATTAATATCAAACATTACACGAAAGAAATTTGACTTCAAATTGGCCTCTGTCCCTTTAAGAAACTCCTGCGCTTTCTGTCTCTCTTCCTTCAAGATGTCATCACAACAATGCTCGTCCATTATGCCATTTACAACTGAGAAGTAGCTTGTATAAGCTCAGCAGATGTGCAGTTCCACCAGGTGTTTGCTAATTGCTGCTGCCGCTAGTCTGGAGGAGCTGAGTGGGGAAGACCCGGGCGATGTGTGCTCTGTGAGGTGAAAGGTCAGCTGGAGACTGCAGCTCCTAGGAATAAGAGATGCCTTGAGGGAGCAATCACCGCCCCCACCCTCACCCCCCAAATACCTGCCACAGGAATTTCAAGGATTTCTTAAACATCGGTTAAAGAATCAAAACAGAAGTCCATGTATGTTTCTGATGAGGGAATAACATTATATGGTTTTATTTAAATTCCTAAAGAGTCAATTTTACATAGTAAATTGTAAAATTTGATCAAAACAAACTAAGGAATAAACAAGCATTGTCATGATGATATAGGACATATTTTGGTTTGAATGAAAACCAAAACACTTACAGGAACAGGACATGAAAACTCAACAAACACAGCAAACTTATAGCTCACAATCAGTGGTGTTTTTTTTTTTTTTTTTTTAATTGAGCTACATGGCTCACTGCTCAGGATGGCATTTTCACTTAATTAGTGCTGTTGCCCCAAGGCTGCATGGTTGCTTCATGGCCAAACTCTACGATACATTTTCACCACAACTTTATTCCTGCGCCGTCCAGCGTGTCCCTTGGTTTTCATGATGGTGTTTGTTTTCTCACAAACCTCTGACGCCTCGACAGAAAAGCTGAATTTATACTGGAACAGAAGTACACACAGGAAACTCCACCTACTAATTAGGTGACTTCTGAAGACAGCTGGTTGCCTTGGGTGATTTTTAGGGGTAACAGTGTAAACCGGGCTGAATACTAACACGCACACATCACACTTTTGACCGTCACATCATCGAAATAAAACGCCGAGGTTTGTGGTTCTAATGTGATAAAATGTGAGAAACCTCTAAGGGTATTAAATACCTTTGAAAGGCGCTGTATTTCGGTTTGGAAACTTCGTCGCTATCTCTTAAACGTTATTTATCACAGGGAGGTAAGATGAGGCACAGCATTTATCGTCACACTTATTAGGATTCCGAGTCGCCCGCTCAGCAAGTAGGACTCTCCCTGTTCATTCATTAATTTTCCGCAGCCCAATAAAAAAAAACAAGCCTCCTTCCCGACCATAACTGTCATCTTTGTAAATACCCCATCAGAATTTAATCTTCATTTTAAACTTTGCTTCCGCCGAGGATTGGGTCATTCGCGGGAGACACTAAAGAGTCACCCTTTGGGGTAATAAAACAAGGTTGTATTTGACGAGTAGTCAAAGGAGACGGAAGCAGATGGGTAGAGGATAGCTGGGTGGCATAAATCGTCCGCTCCTTTTCACGTATGATGCGAGTGCCCTTGGTTACCTAGTAACTCTCTCTTTCTCCGTCTCCGGTTGGCGCTCCCGCACAACGTTCCGCTCGGGAATGCGCGGCGCGATCCCGCGGTGCTCGCGCTGAGCCTGAGAAGAGTCAAGGCGAAAGCGTCAAAACGCACCAGGACTTGAAGGGGAGCTTCCCGCTGGAGTAAAAACAACAACGAAATAATAATAATAATTAAAAAAAATATATAAAACTAAGAACATTGCCTTAATGGCGTGGGAATCCGTTAGCGTGAGAGCAGAGAGAGGACAATGATCGCTTCGCAGGAAGGTTATTCCCTAAAAACATAAGCTTTGTGCAGAATACAAGGATATTTGGAGTACACTGACTACAACTGCAAGTGAAGATCCCGAGACGGTCAAACATAGTCCCGGTTTTTTCTTCTTTCTCTTTTTTTTTTTTGAATTCTAAGAAAGACATGGGGAGATTTTCACCTCGGCAAAGCAGGTGAGTCATTTTAAAGATACTTGGGGCTGTCTGTGTGTGCTGAGCTGAGCGATTCAGGAGGATGCATGGAAACTGGCGGTCGCATTTAGATATACGACTTTCTATTTTTCCCCCCCTCTATGAGACAGAAGAGTTATATATCGTAACGCTACGTAGAACCTGCCCTGCAGCCATAGCATACACACACCGTCTATACGCTTGGGATTTTTCTCTCTCTCTCTTTTTTTTTTTTAAATAGACTTTTTTTTAATGTTCGAAACAAGAATTAGGATGCTGATGCATGTTTTTGCGCAGATGTGCGTCTGTTGCTTCCGACGATTCACAGCTCGCTGTCAGCGTCGATGCGGTAAATTTAATGTTCTGTGGTATAAATGTGCAGGGCACTTGTTACTTAGGCATAAAGACATCTTGTGCGTGTGATGGAGCGATGACGCGCAGGCTTTCTGTCACTGCTCTGGCTGGAAGAAGAATACATACAATAAAAAAATGAACTAGAATAGACTTGAGGAATTTGAAACAAATGGATGAAATTATGACTTAGATTTCTGGGATTCAGTTTGGATTCCCGGCATTCGCTTTTCCACAACTCTAGTAAGGAGATCTCCAGTCTGACACAATTTTACGCATGGAAGTATATATATATATATGTAGGCGTCCCCAAATATCCATCCCAAGTGGTCTAACTTAGAGCTCTATAATAAATGCATGTGATTTTTCACCTGAAATCCAGTAATATTTCAGAACTTATCTCTTCTGTTTGGCCAACTAAACTGGTCATTTAACTTGTTCTATTCTCATCTTTTAGATTCTTCAAAATGCTGCACAAATTACTCTGAAGAAGAGTCTATTAATCAATGCAGGCCTCATATATGTGGGTGTGTGCGTGTGCCTGAAAGTCTGATATTCCTGGAGACATGACACACGCTCAGAAATAAGTGGTCCGATTGTAGTTGGTGGCAAAAAAAAAAAAAAAAAAA